GAAATCACCAGGGGATAAGGCAGAACCCCAGGGCTGGCTAGGGGGCAGGGAATGCTGCCAGAAGCCAGACAAGGAGAGAGCTGTGTGTGAAGGTCTTCTGAGCGGAACCTGGCCTCGGGTTGAGGGATGCAGCCAACCAGCACAGGGAGGAAGAAAGCCTGGAGAACACGGGCCCTGCCTCCGCCTCAGACCTCCCATCCCCCACTGCCCCTCGGTCAATCCTAACCGGGAGTTGGAGGGCAAGAGAGCCCTCTAAGTCAGCCTTCGTCCATCCGAGCAGAGTAGACAGTGGACCCGGGGGCTGGGTTAGGATCCATATCTTCATTTTAATAGTGAGTTTCTCCAACTTGAGAATTCACAGTAGTTTAAATATATATATAATGTATCACATTGCCATGGCCTCATCATTTGTTACCTGCCTTCCTATTCAACTCCCCCTTCAGTATGTGCCCAAGCTGACACCAGGGACCAGTCCTAAAGCACAAATGGGCAACGTCTACCTTCCCTGCCATTGGGAATGTTGATCACTAGCTAGAATTATTTTGGATTAAAATACTTTCCTTCCACCTCAGTTTTACTACCCAAAAGCCCTATTTGTGTCCGTGGTCTTTAATCAGTGGACTATTTTGTCGTGTAAGACCATGAAACTCATTTGGCCACAGGCATTTTCATGTTTACTGTGACTTGCTAGTGTGAGTTTTCAGTATGTATCAATTATACTTGCTAGTTACATCAACTATAGGTTATATTTTTGAATTGGTCTAATGCTCTGTATTCTTTTTAAAGCTACCCCACCAGGAAAAAAAATATTTTATAGCTTGTGTCTTGGATTAAACACACACACACACACACACACACACACACACACACACAAATGTGTATTTCCAATTACATTATGGCCCTTCATACCTTTTATTTTTAGGTTTATAGGATAATTGTGATTGTGTTCAAATGCAATCCCTTGTACCTTTTGCTCATTCTTAGGTAGTAGGATGCCCTATGGTATGTTTATTTATTTATTAAATGTCTTTATTGATTTCAGAGAGGAAGGGAGAGGGAGAGAGATAGAAACATCAATGATGAGAGAGAATCATTGATCGGCTGCCTCCTGCACGCCCTCTACTGGGGATCGAGCTCACAACCCAGGCATGTGCCCTTGACCGGAATCGAACCCGGAACCCTTCAGTCCCCAGGCTGATGTTCTATCCACTGAGCCAAAACAGCTAGGGCTGGTATGTTTAATAGACTTGAAGAAATGTATGCTGTGGTGTGGTCACTGGAACTCAGCATGTTAGATTCTAATTTGTTCTTGCTTGTTAGCTCATTTGGTGAACTTGGGTCATTTGCTATTGCATGGACTTGGTTTGCTGTTCTGGAAAAAATACTTCCTTTCTAATGATGGATCTGTTCAAGCATACATAGCAAAAAGTCATAACAGTCCATTATCTAATACACTGCCCTATGGAAGAGTAATTTGGTTTTATTAAAAGAGGTTTAATTACTTAAGCCAAGGTGCACCATAAACTATTTCCCAGTAACTACTACACTTCAACACTATGGCAATTTTCTAAAACATCTGTTTTTGGTGCCAGTTGTTTTAAAGAGGTCCTTTTAAATGCTCCATTGACCCTTTTCTATCCAAACACTGGGTTCCTGGTCTGCCACATTTGGTGTTTTTGCATGTAGGTATCCTTTCTTCAGGTCATTGTATTTTACCCTAGAAAGAGTTGAAAGGGAACTTAACCTAGTCCCATCCATCCCATTCTACAGATGAGAAACCAATGGTGACTAGAACATCCAAAACACAGCCCTGGGCTCCACACTCACCATGTGTTCTTTATAGGAGGGTGAATAGTCTGAAATTTTCATTTATCAGCCCAATGGTCAAATATTGGCCATTTAGCAGTCTAACATGCTACTACATCATTGCTAATGATATCATCATATTTCTGCTCAACTAAATGAAGGAAACTGAACTTACAAGATCTTATAGTTGGGAACTTAAATTAAGAGGGATGGATAAGTGTGGTACAGAGATATGTTCTTTTGGGGCCGTACTTTTTTTAATTGCCAGCATTTAAAAACCAAGAATTAAGTGTAAACATCCAGATTCCTAGTTTATCTGAAAATACACAAAAACTATCCTGAATGCCAGCATGGCAATAATTTTACTATTACGAACAGCCCCTCCCCACAATTTACCAGTCACTACTGCTCCCTAAGGCTTCCCAACCAAGCTGTGCTACTCATTTACATTTCTTGCCTCACCTCTGTAGGCCTGTGTCACTATCTCTATTTAAGATCAGAACCTGTTATTGTGCCGATAAGGAAACAGGCGTCTTACATAGAGAGTAATTTTGGAACAAAATATGATTTACCTAAAGGCTTCTTCTAGAGAAATGACCCATATTTAAAGTTATGTTTTAAGTGACTTTTAAACAAAATTAACCAATTGTTATTTCTTTGGTAGGTGATCCAAATCCAGAACATTTTAACAGAAGAACCCAAAGTCACAGTGGTTTATGCAGAAAATGGTACAGTGTTGCAAGGAAGTTCAGTGGCCTCTGTGTACAAGGGGAAATTGCTGATTGGCACCGTGTTCCACAAAGCTCTTTACTGCAAGCCCTAACAGGCCGAAATGCACCCATGCCATGGGAACTGTGAGCCCATCATTTCAACGGCTTGCCACCTCGAAGGGACCACAGTGATCTCATTAAACAATGAACGTTGACCCTAAATTAGGCCATAGTTAGGGATGAGAATGCTGTTTTACTTAGAACAAAGATGATTGTAAGGCTTTTTGAAAGTACAAAATCAAATTGGTCTTGGGATACTTGTTTACCAGTAAAAATCCTTTACAATAAAATGGCTAAATTTTTGGTCATGTAACAGTATGTGACCCAAAAGGGTACTTTCCCTACGACATACGTTTTCTGAGTGCACGTGACTTATTGCTGCCTTGCTGAGTCTTGTTCAGAAAACAGGAGAGCAGGATGGCTTTACGGGTCATCAGAAATCCAGAAGCCACCCAGGGACTCCAGTTCACATGCCGGGAACGGGACATGCACTAAAAATGACCCTTCAACTCTAGGCACTTCTCCTTAAGCAAAGCCATTAGACATATTGCACATCAGACTTACGTTTCCCCCTTTACGTATGACTTTCTCGGTAAATGTAAACTCAAATGCTTCAACTTTCCTTCTACTCTTGCTTATTCAATTCTCCTCTAGCAAAAGGCATGCAGGAAAATCTTAAAATTCTTGGGAGTGTTGTCACACTTGAAAATTACCTGAGTCTCTGTGATCTCTGCACACATAGTACATTTTAGTTTCTTTCACCTGGTACAAGGAAGAAGTTTGTTCACATCAGTGATTGGATACAGAACGAAACCCATAACTGATTCGGGTAAAGCTAAGTGTCCCCCCAAGAGAAGTTATTAAGGTGGTGGTGGTTCTTTTTCTAGTCTAACTTGCCACAGAGGCTAAGAAGAAGACAATAGGAAAGTAAACAAAAGAAGAAATGATCAACAACCTCTCGCTATCTTCTGAGGGACATACTCAGAAAAAAGATGACTATTATTTTCTTATGAAAGCCGAGGAAAAGGTTACCTGTCCTCCTTTATTTGTCTGCTCTAAGGTATGGCTTCCAGGATGAATTGTTTCTTCGCCACCTTAAGGCAGTCATGTTAGAAAGTGTCTCTAGGGCATTTGCCATGATGATGGTCTGGTATTTGGAGAGAGATGTTTTGCTGATAAATTGAGAACTGCTCCTGGTTTAAGACCACTGGCTTAAATAAACAGGGACATTTTGTTTAGATCGAAAAACACTTTCCTCACATCAGGATAAAAGTTATTTTTAGTCGTTTCCATGGGCATGACGCCATGTGCCCTATGAGAGCTGGTTTGTGATGCTGTTCACAGCCCTCGAAGCTGGAATATTGTTTGGAAACGATCAATAGCTGTGGTGATTAGTTTGAAAAAAGCTACATATTTCCTTTATTTAAAAAATAATTTTATTGATTCCAGAGAGGAAGGGATAGAAACATCAATGATGAGAATCATTGATTGGCTGCCTCCTGCACGCCCCCTACTGGGGATCAAGCACACAACCTGGGCATGTGCCCTGACTAAGAATCAAACTGTGACCACCTGGTTCACAGGTCGGTGCTCAACCACTGACCCGTGCCGGCTGGGCAACCATGTATTTCCTTTAAAGAGAATCACTTGATATCAATAAAATGACCACAGGTCTGTTCTCTCTCGTTTTTAACAAAATAAGCAAATTCTGTCCCCTGGCTACCCCCCCCCCCCCCTGCTCTGCAACCCAAGAGAAAGCTATCCACCAATTGAACGTAGCTAGCTTACATGAAAGATCATTCAAAAAGGGACACAAGCGTCCCCTTGGTTTGGAATTTCTTAACATGCTCCAGGGTAAACAGTTGAATTCACTTATTCTGTTGCTTTCATCTAAATTTTTTGCACTGCCAAAGGTTTAGTCACAGATAAATTAGGGAGTGCATGTATGTGTGACAGAGAGAAATTAATACCTTCATTTGATATATTCGTCTTCTCACCATTTAAAGCTTTAGATGTAAAATTGTTGAAAGAAGCCCCATACTCTGGGATGGTCTGATTTTTAGCTCTCCACAACACGCTCTGTAACTGTGTGAGGCCAACTGCTTACGGATTTGTCAACGACCTTTCCCTGGCTGACAGGTTTTAGAAACTGTGATGGTGAAGCCACAATGGAAACCAAGAGATGGGCGAGGGAACTTCTAGTGGAAGCTTTGATCTTTAACTTTATGCCCAGTTCCATAATTGTGCTTTCGACATAATTCCTGCAGCCCATTTACACTTCAGCAGGGCTAAAACGTATTTTTAGCTTCATTTCTATGGAAATGTGCACTTTGCCCTTGATTGATAGATGCATTTTGACAGTTAATACAGGTTTATCCAGTCAAGGTGAAAATGGGAGAGGAAAAACAATGACATCAACAGATCTCAGTATTACTCTTTTTTATTGCATTCGTTGTCTAACAACAATAATACTCATTGGCAAGAAATTTATTTACACTAACAAATTAAACTTAATCACATGTATTTTTAGATTGATCAAAAAACAAAGGATATCTTGCTTCGAATGCCTCTGAAAACCAAAGAGTAAGAAATGTCATTTGAAATGGAACAATCTAGAGAAATACATATTAACCAAGCACAGAGAACAATTCGGACGTGGCACTATTGTCTCTTCCATGCAAATGATTGGACACCGAAAGGTACAAATCAAGGTTCAGATAACATGCTATCCATATTTATTGGACTTAAAATGACTTTCAAACAACTTTTTTCCTTTATATAAAGAAAGATGAAAATAAACCAACTTCTTACAATGGGACAGAATTCATTCTCTCTCTTTTTTTATATTTCAGCCGGCCAGTTTGTTAGTCATATGCAGCACGTGTACTTGTGGTTCCATTGTAACACCATTAAAAAATACAAAAGCAGTAGTGATGACCATAAATAATATTAAGGAGAACATACACATAAATATTTAAGAGATTTCACTAAGCACTAACGAAGTCTGATGTTGTTGGGAGGCGTTTTCTAGCCGGAGTGCTTCCTAATTCACACTTTTTAATGTAATTTAACTATCCTTGGCCAATTGTTCTTTCACAGACGAAAGATGAAATCCTTAACAGAGAACCTGGGTGTGTCCGTAAAACAGCCAGAGAACTAGAAGTATACGCCTTCCAACAACACACTCACACTCATGTCCATTTGGCAATGACCCAACCAGGCCATCACTCAGCAAAAGAGGAAGTAATGGTCATGGGATGACAACGCTGCCATCAGAGAGCCAGTAGTTAGTGGCTTATGCATCACAGCGACCAAAAATGTCATATTAGAGCATGAGCAAGTGCACAAGAACACGCAGTGCGATTTTTAGCAAAGGACACTGCGGTTCGCAGTTGAAAATGCCTGAAGCTGCATAAACTTCTGAGTTTCAGCTCAGCGATGTGCAATCTTGACATCAAAGCGTTAACCAAACATTTAAGGAAACTTTATCTTACTAAAATACCAAGTTTCGAATAAATCAATTTTACCAAAATATATAGACATATAGAAGGATTAAGTGCATTTAGTAGAAGAAATACATTAAAAAAATCTCTTAAAATCTTATGAGCCATTCAATGTATACACAACACAAAAGGTGGCAATAAGGCTATGATTACTGCTGGGGGTGCTCACTGACAACACCAAGTTCCAAAGACAGTATCTATTTGTTGAATGCCATGTCATTGCGGTGTGTGTGCAAGGTGAGAGATATATTCACACGTATGTAGTCTGTATAGCTACACAAGTGGCATGCACAGTGTTGAGAAGTTGCCTCTTGTTCCCTTATCCCTTGCCTCTTATTCATTCTTGAATCTTTAGCGCTAAAGACTGGGGTAGGGCCAAGGATGGGAAATCAGCATGTTCTTGCCTTCCCCACTCTGTAGGTTTGGAAGTGGGTGACGTGCTGTACTTGGTCCACACACGTATGTACGTGAGCCTTCAAGTAACAATCATTCCCTCAACGCATCGTGTAAGGCTCCTCTGTTCACCCTTGGGGAGAACTTGAGGCTTTCGTTTCCCAGGGGGACATGGGTCCTTCAGGCTTCTTCTTTGCCCTCTGACTTCTTGGTTGGGTCTGTTCTATACTCCTACTTTTTTGTTATGCAAATACTACTGGTGTACTACTGGTGTTATTTTTCCCCCCAGTGTTTTGGACCAAGATTCAGTTTCCTGAGACTTTAAATAACTAAGAAAAACATAAATAAAATCTGCCTGCAGACTACGGTTGTTTTTCAGGAGTGAATTGCAGCAACCACATTCATATTTCTTACAACCCTGTTTTCTTTAGAAATTTACTTTTCACCCCATCATCATAATAAAAACAATTCTAGTAGAAAATATGGACATTTTACTTCCCTCATCCTTCAAGGCTTAGCTTCAGAATCGTTTACAGGTAGATCCTTGATTAAAGTACATTTGAACATTCAGAAGCCACTCAGGACTCAAGTAGGTGACATGAACCCTGGTGCTGCTGTCTCTCAAAGGGAAGTGCCCCTCATCTGCAGCTCTTGGGACAGTACCTTCAGTTACTCCGATGGGCTTTAGTAATACTTAAATACCTCAGTGTAACGAGCGGGCTACCACACATTCAAAGTGTAGTTGCTTCTTTAAAATTGTTAAGACACCTCCCTTTAGAATCTTCTTAAATCCCATTGTTAAACGCATGGTTTTCTCTCTTTAGGCTTGGTCTACATAACCTTTAACACTTTATAAATAAATCAGAATATCCATATAAATGCAAAATTTACCTTTTAAAATGTATTTGAAAGCACATGTTAATCCAATGGCAAAAAGAACCTAGATGAGAATTATTTGTCTTCAGCAAAAACCATAGGGCTAATTAAAGTCAAACAATCTGTGATTATATTTGAAGCTTGGGCCTCGGACATTTTAAGGTTTCAGACTAGAGATGACAGCAGAATAACAGGCAGTGGCAAGGGTTAATTTGGTTCCTCACCCTTCCTCTTGCCACTTTGTTTCCAATGATAACAGGAGCACCAGGTAGGTGTTCCCATTGCCTCCCTCTTAAAAGCTGAGGTTGGCATTCGCGCTGGAGTTAAAAATGCTTATGTGACGTTAAGGGTAGGAAATTCATCAAGCCCCAGCTAAAGAAAGAAAGCATAGAATAGCTTTATTGTCAAAAAACTAGAGGTGGACTTCATCAGTCTGCTAGAAGGGGCAAAAGTTGGTTTCTGACCTAACATCACTCTGACGTTAACTTCTAATTCAGGAAGAAAGAGAGGGAGAGAGAGAGAGAGAATATGAATGAGAATGAGAAAACTGTTACATGAACTGTGAGTTACTCTAAGGGAGACAGTCTTAAAGAAAGTAATTCTGTTATAAAACTAAAGTCCTTCAATGGAAAACCCTGACCCAGACACTCCTCACCACACACCACCTGCCCTCCCCAAAGCATTACCTATACCCCCAACACTTTTGGCTATTGTCAGAGTCAAATAGAGCTGTCGTTTAGAGAATATAACCAGATATTCCCGTTTTGTTCATTTTCTGATAAAGAAAAAACTGCAAAGTCTTAAAGGTTCATGAAGCAACAGTTCTGTGTTAAATTGGACACTGAAAACCACTAGCATTAGAGCAGGAATTGTGTACTGCACTGGTACCTCACTTAGGCATCATGCACTAGAGTTGATAAAAAAAAAAGTACGAAAACAAAATGCTCCCAAGTCTTGAGGCCCTTCACTGTTTTCATGACCTTTCACCAGTCAGTTACATTTTATCCTTTTCTGGACAATCAAATCAAGTGCCTCTTATAATTTCAGCAGTTTTAAGTAGTAATGTTAAAAATAACTCATTCAGATGAAAATTACTATAATTTAAGTTAAAAAAATCAAAATAGTTATAACACAAATGAAATGATTTGAAAAAAAGAATGTGATTAATAATATTGTCAGTTGGTCATTAATCTAAACACCGGAAGTATACAGATAAACTGAAAACTAAGAACAATATTTGAAGACTTTTAAGAAAATGCAATATAATAGATCATAAATTATGTGCGGAGACTGAGACTTACAGACATTTCCAGTATTTACATCCATTTTCAAATATTACCAAAGTGTAAACATAAGATAATCATCCTTCCATTTTCATTCTTAAAATGAATACAGTGAAATTTCCAGTGTGATCTAGATCACTTTTTTTCAAAGATATGCAAAGATGGCAAAAATGTACAATAGCAAGCACTAGTATTACCACATTTTGACTAATTTAGTCTTTTAGTATTAGAAAAGGTTTGCTGGAATTGGTCGTTCAGTAATAGTGGTTCCTTGTTTCTCATGGTATTAATAAATAGCAAAGCACCACACATCTCAAAATATAAATAGAATATCCAGTATGGCGGCTTCATTATCATACCCCAAAATGAAGACAGACAGAGAAAATATACATAGTGACGGGTAACTGTAAAACATAGTGAGTAATCTATACCTAGTGACAGAAGCACTGAAGCCAAACAGGCAATACTCTGCCACTAAAAAGGAGGCAGGCCTTCAGGAAAGAACTGAATTGTGAATTTCTAGTTTAGATTATTCCAGATTTCCCATATTCAGACAAGCAAAAAACAAAAACAAGCAAAACACAATGTTCAAAATAAGAGATGGAGCTATATGGGCTGGAGCCCTTTACATGATCTGTTACCTGTAACCTCGAAAAGCACCCCCAAGCTCTGTGTATGTAACATTTCCAGTGCAAGGTATGGACTGAGACTCTCCACCCAGAAAAGGAAGTAAAATACTTGTCAAAGAATTTGTCTGCCCTCAACTCTTATTCTGGAACTTGTCCCTTGGAAAGTGGGTGACCTCATTTTTAGGGCCAATGCAGCAAACAGAATCAGATACATAAACATAAGGAGCAAAACAACAACATCAACAAAAAGATCCATTATTTGAAATTTCTCAAGATGAGTTATAGTTTCTCCTCCTTCTGCCTTAGTCCCTGGCATTTGAATTAGTTTGACGAAATGTTGAAATCCTTAATACTGGCTTTAAAATATGAGCTCCACTGCTAGACTGTATTCTGGGTACTATCTTAAATAAACTTTAACTTTAAATGAAGATCCCTAAAGAATGGGAGAGAATGGCTCAGAAAAACCATTCAGAGCATCTCTAAACATAACTGACAGCTCACCTGTATGGGGACATTCTGTGTGCTCAGTCAAATTGCTTCTCTAGTTGCATGTTACTCAAATCTAAGTTTTCTCGAACTGGTATTTCTATTGTTTTTAAAAGTACATTTGTTAAAATACTAGCCGAGTCCACTTGGGAAATCTTGAGTTGAAAATATGTGACGAGTTCCCGACTGTGTCATCATCAGGCTGCAGACTAGCCAGAATGTTCCCCGGGAGAGGAAACCTGAAAATGTTGGTTTCCTTAAAAACCAATTTCCTGTTCAATTTGTTGGGGAAAAGGAATTTTGTCGTGTGTGTCAGTGTTGCTGACAAACTGAGATGCTGCAGTAGCAAAGTAAACAACAGATCCCAATATCCCATGGCTGCATTCATGTCAGATTTTTCCTTTGTTTGGCTAAATCTGGAAGATAAATATTATCCTCAGAATCCCAAGGTAATACCACATCCACATTCTTAAGGCTTTTGCTTCCTTCTGGGGTGAACACATACTAGAATTCTTTTCTCTCCTTCAGATGCCCAGCAAGCAGAACAGTTTGCTCAACTTCTGCCACGGGAAGTGATTCTGGGGCAGAGCACCCACGTTTCCACAGTGGGGTTGTCTCACTGTCCAGACACAGAAATAAGGGGGACCTTTCTCACACTTTGGAGTGGATCCTGCAGCCGAGATCTCATGGCAGGAGGGCGCTCAAGCCATGCAGACAGACACAAACACCCAGGGTCAGGACCCCATGCTGGACATCCATGGCACTCCATTTCACAACACCAGGGTGGATCATGCTCTTGTTGGGTACTGTCATGCTGGTTTTCCAAGTGACACACGCACCCACCCAACACAACACAAGATGTTGGTAAGTCAGAGAAGAGGGAAACATTTGCCGCTCTCACAAATGAGCTCCTTGGTTTGTTAAGAAACTAAAGGTGGCTTGGGATTAAGTAGGTTAAAATGAAAGGAATTCTATTATCACAGAAAATGCAGGTATTCGACACCAGGTTCCCCAATCTGCCTACAGCACATCACCCCTATCATCAGTTTCTTCTTCATTCCCCCGGAGGAGAGCGGGGCAGGAAGAGGTGGACCCTCCCTTGGAGCACCCTCTTCGCCTGGAAGAGGGTGTGTTACTGCTCCCCAGCCCCCTCTATTGCCATCTTTTCTGTCTTTCTAGATTTCCTCTGCATCTGCTCTTGTTCCTTCCTCCTCAGCTTTTCTCTCTGCTTTTCCATTTTCTCTTGAGCCTTCCGAGCCTTCTCTAGAGACACCTTCATTTCCTTGAGCTTTTTTTTGACCACTGCTCGGTCCTGCGATGATGCCATTCCAAGAGCCTTAAGAAGGAAATAGAAACAAACTGAATCTGAAAACCAGTGACTTCTCTGCTTATGATGAGGCCGATATCGCAATATGTTCTAACTCAAAAATTAATTTAAACACAATTGAGGTGAAAACTAAAGAAGAGCTGATTACATTTGCCAAAAATGTACAAGCTTTATTTGTTCTTTTGTTCTTCGAAGTCCCTAGCACAGTATGCCCCAAAACTTGCTAAGGAATGCTTTCCAGATTGGTAATTAATGGGTGAATGAATGAAAAAAGGTCACAATTCTGCTTCTCCAACCTTTAGGTTGTAGACATTTACAGGCAAAAGATAGGAGTGGGCTCCTGCTGCCACAGAGGGCTCCCGGAAGGGCAGGAAGAATCGACATGGCTTCCTTTCTGCCAATGTATTCATTGACAGTGAGGACCCAAAGTGTATTTAGCACCAGAATGCTCATGTCAGCAGACTAGCCATTCGCTCCCTGTAGGCAGACCTATAAAGGAAGCCTGATTATAACAAGAAGGTTGCTCAATTAGCTTGGAATTCAGAATACGGGGAGTTGGTTGCATAGTACTTTAAATGCTTCATGACCTTCAGCATCAACAGCGGGATGCATCCATCTCCCCAAGGGGACAGACTTGTCAATGGACTTTCATATTTACAGGCTATTCATTGATCTCTAACCTTTTCAAGATTGTCACAAGATACTCATCTGCCCGTCCTCACAGCAGGGGCTGAGGTCAGGGGTGGCAAGCTGGCTGTAAGCTCTTTTTGCCCTTTCTCTGCAGGGATGGGCGCCACCTCAGCCTCTAAAGAGATGGACTGAACAGGTGAACATGAGAGAGCAATGGAGCGGGAGGGAAGACACTGCCGCACATATTTGGGGAAGAAAGTTCTGGGGAAAACATCATCCCGGTTTTGGAGTGGTCCCTGGTGTGCAGGGACGAGTCGGGATGCAGAGGAGACACGAATAAAGAAGGGGAGGTTCATGGATTTGGGTTTTAACTCTTATGTGATGAAAGAGTCCACATTGGCCATTATTAAAACTCATACTACATAGAAGTAAGTAGAGTTAATACATGGGCCATGTGTTGCTAGGTGGAAGCAATGGAGTGAGTCCCTCCCTCTCCTACTCAGCAGCCTACTCTGTAGATCCCCTAATGACTTTCTGAACCTGCATTTACTACTCAAACAATCCACCGTCCTTCCTGCTGACGGTTGATGAGAATTACCTCTCCCATATGGAGAATGCTTTTATTTAAACGAAAACATTTTAGGTGCTATGAGCAATACAAATTATGCTTGGTAACCTAACACAGACATATATAATTCTTTACCTTCAGTTTATTTCCATCCAACTGCAGGAGTTGCTCTCCAGTGATGTTTTGGGCACTGAATTCAGATACATACTGCTCCAGATTTAGGCTCATGAGCCAGTGAGAAACCTGCTGCACACTCCACTCCTGAACGGCCCGATTCTGACACTGACTGTGCTTGGGAGACTGTCCGTCATCAAGGATCTGAGGTAGGAATGTCACGCAGTGTTGTTAAAGGGCGGAAGTGCTATGGCTCAGCATGGCATACTGCGCTATCCAAAGGAATTTCTTGCCTACTAGAGCCATATTTATTTTTAAACCATAGAATGATAAGCTAATGGTTCTAGTTGTGCATGTAACACACATACATGTTTATTACCTACATGTTTTTAGATGCTTGGAAACCTAGAAACTCCCCTAAATAAAACAGCATTTTCAATGTAGGAAGTTTAATATTGACAAATCCACTCTAATGTTGCAAGCTTTTACATGAAAACACTTTGGAAAGATTACCAGATGCAGAAAACAAATATGCCATTTAATCCCTATAGACAATACATCACTCTGCATTTCTCCTCAGCTAAGACATTAGAGATATATAAAAACACATTTAAAAGTATTGTGGCATCTTTCACTTAGAAGAGGAGAGCAATGAACCCTCAGGTATTTTTAGGGGGAAATTTCACCGCCATTATTTCACTTGCACAGCAAGCAAACCATGAGGGCAGAGGGGCAGGAGGTATCCATAATTACTTTTAATAAATGAGGAAACTGAGGTTCTGAACATCTACAGATCTGTCCAATGCAGAATATTACTTTTAATGGTGCAAAGGGCAGGTTGGTTCCTAGAACCACTACGCTGAGAGGCGATGAGGCGATGATGGGTCTGGGAGGAGAGACAGAAGCCACCTCAGTGACGGGCAGAGAGAACAGAAAAGGGGATGATGGGTAAGCCGAGATGAAGGCAAAGGAGGCGAAACAGAGGGAACTGGGTCAGTCAGGTAATGGTGATGGGGACACATCACGGGACTCTGGAGATGGGATCTGGAGGTCCTCTTGAACTAGGAATATCTTTTAAACTGAGACATAGACAAGGGCAGAGTGAAACTACGTTAACACAAGGAACACCCCCAATGCAGAGGAAAGCTCTCTTGTATTGTTTGAGTTTTCAATCATCTGCAAAGAGAGAAAAGGTTCAAACAAAATACCAAAAACCACCACACAGCCCATTGATAGCTCACCTCGTCATCTATCATATCCAGGCTCTGAGTGAGGGAGCAACAAAGGAATCAAAGAGAAAAGTGTTACAGAAACAGGACACACAATATATACAGTACAGTCTTATAACATTAAAGTCACGCCGAGCCTGAAGAATATGGGCAAAAGAGTTTAAGAGAAAAAAAATGTTTTACAAAACAAAACAACATGTTAGAAAGAAATAACTAAGAACACATATTTAGAGCAAAACTATCTTTACTTACGATGCCTCCCTCCCTCCCTCCCTTCCACTCCAATACTGGTCTTTCTTTCCTTATCTCTTGGGGCATTAAGTCCATCACTAGTGTAATTTCCTGCCTCTCTTGCATATATTTATCTCCTGAGAATTCTTAGGAATGCTATTTTGACCCTCGCATCTAAATTCGTGGTCTGACACAGTTGTCCTTCCTTCTCAGAATTGTATCTCTCCCCTTTTCACTGCAGTGAATCTTAATCAGGAGCCACACCCAACTCAGAAGAAATATCAGATTCTTCGGGTGGGGGTGACGGTGGGAAAGGTGAGGGAGAAAAGCAATGGTGAATTTGTGAACTCCGTGAGATTTCTGAGCTGTTTCCTACTTTTGCTCTCCAGTGCCCAGTCTCCCGCCCCCACACCTTTGCTAAGAGTCATGGCTCTGGAATCAGAGCCATGTACAGTAAGTGTACAGTAAGGAATGGCTCCAAGGGCCTCTGAAACAACAGTTTGCTTTCATGTTGAGACAGAGAGGGAGACACCAATTTCCTAGCAAAGATCATGGCTCCAATTATCCACATGCAAAATCTACCTTAGACACATTTCCCTGTGACAGTTCACGGGTACGACGTATGTCGGGGATAGCAGTTCTGTGAGGGACATGAGCATACCTCATCTGATGACAGCGCTAGGGATTGAGAGAGCCCCGGGGTTCTGGGCTCCGCTCCTAGGCCGCTCAGGTCTGCCGAGCTGGTACTACTGGGACTGAAGTCATCGTTGAAGGTAAAATTCTGTAACAATAAACAAAGCGCAGGGTTAAAAGAGCGCCGTGAAGGAACCCAAGGTAGGTGTGCTTGCAAGTTCTACAAAGGTTATTTTGAAGTAATCTTATTAGTTCACTTTGGGGTTGGTGATGACCTTCGACCAGGCAGTGTCGGACACTGCACCTGCGGTGAATGGGGGATTCTGAGCGTTTCTCCGCCGGGTGAAAGGATAGGTGTTTTGGAGTAATGATTCTGCAGTCTCTCTTCAAGGGTGCAGCATTCATTATCCTCCGCAACTGCTCAGAGGAGTGATATTAATGAGCCTATCTTCTTTGACCCTAATGGTGATGAGCAACAGTGTAAGTAAAAAATGCAAGGTGGTGTGGAGAGCCTGAGCTATTAGGAACAGATGGCAACCCATATTAGAAAGGTAGCCGAGCACCCCCAGAAGGCCCGCTGCTGCTGCGATAAACACTGTGAGGAATGGCAGGTCCGCTCCGGGGTGTGACCTTCAAAGATGGTGGGTTCTGGGGGAGGTCACAACCTGACTGCACTACCTGTGCCAGTACAACGCTCACGTGGCACCAGCAAAGCCCAAAGAGGCTGCACTATGAGCAGACACACGTTCCCAAATAGTTACCTGGGGGTAGAAAGAAAGCTTCCCCAGAACCTCATTAAAATGTTCAGTGGATATTAAAGTCAAATACGTTCACAATGACTTCAGAGCTGCCTCGGTGAAAACATTTTAAACCAAATCTGGAGTCTCTCCAGTGTAAGATAATGGTAGAATTATTCAAACAACATTGAGATATATCAGATCCAATGCTGAAAATGTTTCAAGGCCCAAGTGGTCCACTGCTGTCAAAACTTCTTTTCTAATTGCTTCCCAGGGACTCTCAAGAACTTGGCCAACCCCATCTTGTTTCCTATTCCACTGCCTTAGAAATTGGACTGTCAGTTTTCCATTAGGTTCTCTTGTACTGGCTGAGCTGGCTGTCAAGAATAAATGCCATGCCAGAGGCTGGAGAGCTCAGTACCAAACAGACTGCAGGGTTTGCTGAATGTTCAGAGAAGACTGAATCAGAGCACGGAGCTGGGCTAGTAGAGCGTTTAAGCAGGAGGCATTCAACACAGCGCATTACCATTTGGTACTGTCAGTGGAAATTCAACCCCAAAGCCCATCAAAACCCTGTGAGTTGTTGACCACAAGAAAAGAATTAAATTCAAGTAACTTTAACCACATGTTTCTGTTTGAGAAAGAAAAGTGAACACAGATAAAAGGAGACCACACAACATGTGAAAGTTAGCCACCGCATGTGTTTCAATAACATGTTAGGTAAGGTTTGCAGTGTCATGCTGGAAATAACCATCATGCATTTAAAAACGAGCAGCATCCATGCACATACTTCCTAATTCTGCTAAAGTTAAAGAACTTTCGTGATAGAATTACAACAGCTGTTCGACATGGAAGCTTGATTTAAGAGAAGAAATAAGTAAGGGTGCTATGTCAGCATTGGTTTGTTTTAAAGAGTTTCATTTAGATGTATTGAACACATATCCAGTCCCAAATTTATCTGTTTTCCAGTAAATCTTGACGAGCGCAGCAAAAATAGTTTGGTAATGTAATTTAAACTGGAATGCTTGGTAAACAGATCTATCACACTGTGCCGTGATTCAAATGCATCTTTCCCAGCATGGTTTCACTGTCAAACGGAGATTAAATAGCAATATGTGAAAAGACAGGCAAATCGAAGATTAACGCACAATCTAGCAGGGACCAGTATTAAAGAAGGTGATGGTTAAAGGGGCTTTCTGTTCCCCACACGGGAAGTACCATGCACTGTTTATTGCAGTGTTATCACATTGGTTTCTTGGATCCAGAGCATACACACAAGTTGAGAATGCTTCCCAAAGATTGAAGAGGAGGAAGAGATTTGGGGTTTTCTTGTTTGCTTTTTTAATCCAAGTGGTTTCTACCTTGGACCCCTTTTTATCTGAAATTAGAGTTTCAGGAGAAGGCTGGAGGGGACTTGGAGGTGAAGGCAGGTTCCTGAAGGAATAGGATCCTTTCCGGCTTTCGTGAAACCAGGAGAAAGGCATGCAAGGTGAGCGAGGGGAGGCCGGCGCTGCGGAGGAGGGCTTCGCTTTCCAGTGGTCCAGCCTGCCTCTGAAGATCCTGTTTCATGAAAAGAATGGGGGTGTTAGACAAAGAAAGGGCAGATGTGAAACTGACAGAAATGGACTCTGAAGGGGCTCCGAACACAGTTCGAAGTAACAATTTGAGAAATTGTCCTGCACAACAGATACTTTTTTTCTTTCACTTTTGGCTGGAACATTAATCCTAATCGTTATGGGTTGTTTTGTTTTTTTTGTTGTTGTTTTTTTGTGTGTGTGGGTTTTTTTGTGTCTAAATGGATTCTGTAATGACAGACGTTTTGTACTGCTATGTCCGTGATAAATTTTTATGAAATATGCCTAATAAATACAGGGATGGGCAAAAAGTTAGGTCTGCAGTTATTTGTATGGAAAATAACACAACAATTAATACATAGGAATGCAAGAATAAGCCCTGTGTTTCACGTACTCACAACCGTACACTTACTTTTGCCAATGCCTGTGTATGTGGATGAATTACCATCCGGGAGGAGCATGTCGTTCAGGAGCTGCTCTGAGGTTAGTCATCACAGCACCCCCTAATTGGAGACACACATCAGTGCCTCACTGCTGGTGACTTTAGCTACTGATGAGCATTCTTTCCTGGCCTCCTTTCAACTCAGATTCTCAAGGGTCTCAACTTTAGAAAATGATGTACTTAAATAACTTGGAAATTTCAGGGCTCGGGATACTTTAAGCAGAACATACACTTGGTTGGTTTTTCATCATAATCTTAGTTCCTTTTCATAGAAGGAGCACCAGACCTGAAGTCTTAATACTCTGCTTGGAGGTCAGGGTCTGCCACCTTCTGAACACAGGACCATGGGCCTTTGCTCAGCCTCTATTCCCTTATCTGTAAAAGGGGGATGTTTTATGTATATCATATGTGGTTAAGAATTAAATGAGACAGTATGTGTAAAAAGTGCTTTGAAAACTATAATGATCTATGCTTACTGTTTAACATTCAAAGGCATCTGAGAACACAGTTTGAAAACATGTTTTTCTTAATATCTTGCATTAGAGAAAAATAATTCTTAGAGAAAAATAATTCTTCGGAACTGAGGCAGGAATAGGCAGTAGTATCTGCATCTTGGAAGAGGTCACCCTCAAAATGTCCAAATGATACTTGATGCAGTGCCTACAATTTGTTAGCAGTTGGTGTCATGACAACAAAGAGATTCTCTTTCATTTAAAAGTGACTCAACACCTTAGCTAGATAGCTAATGTCTGACATGGATACTGAATTTCAATCTTCTCACATCTCATTTCAAATATTTTGAAATATTACATGTTTCAAATTTACCTAAATAGTATAACTCCTAACAATTCCTGCTCATTTCCAAAGATTATTGTGAGAATCAAATGGGACAATAAATGCAAAACCATCTTATAAACTGTAAAGCAATGCATAAATGTAAAGGGATTGTAAGAATGATAATTAAAGAGAATGAAAAATCAGTGAAGTTTTGGAAGAATACTGACATCATAGGTTGGGGGTGAAACACTGTTGGCCACACTAAAGATTCCAGAAAAGGGGATGATTTAAATGGTGTATTTCTTTTTCTTTTCTTTTTCTTAGTGAATGGGAGCCATTCAATTTTTATGTTTTACTGATTTTTAGAGAGAGTGGGAGGGAAAGAGGAGAGAGAAACATTGATGTGACAGCAAAACATCGACTGGCTGCCTCCTGCATGGCCCCTACGAGGGATGGAGACCAAAACCTGGAATGTGCCCTGACCAGGACTTGAACTGGCAACCTTTCAGTGCATGGGACGATGCCCAACCAACTGAGCCACACCGGCCAGGGCTAAATGGTGTTTTTCTTAAAATGACAACAACAACAACGACAATAAAACCACAAAGGAATCTGCAAGGATAACAAAAAGACTGACCAGAGAGGGGCCAACCTTCAATTTCATCTTAAAGTTAAAAAATGTTGTATCCTTAACCCACCTAACTTCTTATGAAACGATGGAGGAGAGGAGTACAATAACTGAACTGAACGCATGCGAGCAGAGGCAGATTGGTCTTCTGTGGAAGTGCTTTCTGCTCCGGGGTCATGGACCAGTCTGCTAAGAATCATTGGGGCAGCTGTTCAAATGCAGATTCTTGGACACCCAAACTTACTGAATTAGAATTGTGAGAACAGAAGGGAGGAGTTGATCTGGAATCTACTTTAACACATATCTGAGCTGACTCTTAAAAATTTTAATATCTATATTTATTAATATTATCCTGAATGCAAATATGAGGCTTTTGGAACAGAATAGGTTATTACATACTTACACAAAATTACTGCACTGGTTCCCCATACCATAATTTTCTCTCTCCATAACGAGAACCAGATGTCCTAAACTTGGTCTACACTGTAGGTGAGAAGTGTAAAAAATATGAATCTGTACGGTTATATAGGAGAGGGCCAGCTGTCCCTGCCTTGCCCTGAGAGAAGGAGAGAAATCCTATCTCCTCAATGTAAACAAATTCAACTTGGGAAGGATCTTGGGTTCTCTCAGCCTTTGGAAAGAAATATAAGTCCCGGGGGAGATAAAACAAGTTATCTCTAGCTTTACAAGCTTGGGAATGTCTCCATAGAGAGGTCTCAGCCCCCTCTCCCCATCCACACTCCTTAAAAATGGAACTACACATTGGGGAGTTGGCTCTCTCTGTCTATCCATAATTTAACTTCTGAGGTTTATCTTTTAGCTCAGGCCCTACATTCCATTAAAAATGCTGAGAAAGCTCTAAAATAAAAATATTTTCTCAGTAGCCTCACACTCTTATAAGTGGGCATATCTGAAATAAACTGGACCTGATGATTTACTTTTCTCCTTTGGTTATAAATTTCTGAATCAATCAAAGTGACGTGGGAAATTCTTTAGGTGTTACATCCACAATTTAAATAAAGCATTGTAGTGCTTTGATACATGGATACTGTTTTAAGTTATAAATAGGCCATTATCAATGACAGCTAAACTATCTTCCTATTCCCAAGTGGACTGCCTTTGTAATAACCTTTTTAGAACAACCACTACCACTTTTTTTTTTTTTTTGCAAGAAATAAGATTATTGGTACCTAATTTTTGTCATTCTAATTACTTATTTGTAAAGGACTTTTGGTAGTTCAAATCCTGGCCAGGCAACATTTCAAACAAAATCTGAAGACCACATCTAAATGCTGCCATAAAATTCTCGCTGCCAGGAAAATATCCAAGACTGATAATTCCAGGTGCACTTGGACATCCAGCGCTGAAGGCAGGCCTGCAGGCCACAGTGGGGGTGAGATAAAGGAGGTGAGGGAAGCTCAGCCTTGGTGATATCCAGAGGCTTTCTTGGACAATGAAGATAATGGAAGGCAAGAGGAAAAGTCACACAGAAAGCAATGCAAGCCCACTTCTAAGGAGATGGCCACGTCCTCACAGCTGTAAACCACCGGTTCTGAGGTATTCTGAAGAATATTTTCCAATTCTCCAGGAGGTCTGGCTGTGCCCCGCTGAGGCTGTATCCTGCCCCCCTCGTTTATTTGTGTATCCTCGATTCTAAAACTCCCTCCATACACTGATGTAACCTCTGTGTGTTTGCCAGTATCCACAAAGAGTTGAACAGGCATGCTTCCATTTGCTTGGACCTTGAGTAGAGAATGTTCATTTAAAAAAGCAAACTCTCCACTACTTTAAACTCATAGACCTATCAGCTTTCCAGACATGCTTTCTAAAATAAATGCCAATTTCCTTCCAGATAAATCGAACTATTGAGTCTACAAAAGGAGCACAGGAGTTTTGGTAACAATTATTCTATTATTGATCACTTACAGCCTGTTTCACTTGGTGGAGAAATGTATTAAGAATAAGATAAAATTCTTCCTTCCCTCCTTTCCTTCCCTTCCTCCTTTCTTTCTTAACATTTTTTACCCTCAGGGCAGGTTATGGGCTAAGTACTAACTCTATATTCATCCTTCATAATCCCCATGAAAAATAAAGATCAGTGGATATGAATTCTTAATGGATCTGAAAAGAATTTCTAGGTATGTGCTCTGTACTTCCTTCACAGCTTGTACACTAATGGCTCACTGTCATTGAATCGAATCATAGCTATAGTTCTGATTATTTTATTGTTAGGAACTGGAATGCTAAAATGTCATTTGGGGGTGGGCGATGGGGTGGGGAAGTAAGTTTCCTGGCATTTAAAAGGTTTATAGTTTACAGCTCTATAGAACAATTAACTCATTTATATACATCTTGGAACCAGATTATCCTGGGGCTAGGACCCCAAAAATAAATTGCTAAGGTAAACACTCCATGGTGATTTTGGGGGGTTGGTTTTAACTTTGAATACAAGGTAAATCAGGGCACATACCTAGGTTGTAGGTACAATCCCTGGCCAGGGTGCTTATGGGAGGCAACTGAACCATGCTTCCTTCTTTCTCTCTCTCTCTCTCTCTCTCGCTCTCTCTCTCTCTCTCTCTCTCTCTCCCCCCTTCCTTTCTCTCTAAAAAAAAAAAAAAAAAATCAATAAAAACATAGCCTTGGATGAGGATTAAAGAATTTTTCTCTAGCACCCACATGAAAAAAAATTTTTAAGATAAAGTTAGTTTATAATGTTATTTAACCCAAAATATTCAAAGTATTATTTCAACATCTAATTAGTATAAAATTAAGAAGATATTTAACATTCTTTTTTCTTATACTAAGTCTTTGAAATCTAGCATGCATTTTCTCTGATAACACATTTCAATACAGACTAGCCACATTTCAAGTGCTCAATGGCCACATCTGACCAGAGGCTACCATATTGGGTAATGCAGATGGAGATGGATGGGAGGTTGGGGACCAGGTTCTTCTAGTCCACCTCACTTATTTTTTGTAGGAAATCAAGGTCCAAGGAATTCAGGGACTTACCTATGGCAGAGTCAGGATGAATACTTGGGTGAATACTTGAATACTCAGTGGTGTGTTTTTTTCCATTGTTCACACTTCAGGTAAATGAAGACTCACTTCCCCAGAGAAGTGCCCTCTCCCTTCCCTGTCATTTTCCCATGTGCCACTTTCTAACCTAGTCCTGAGATACATAGATCTGCTCACAGGGCTTTCCATTCAGGGACTAAATTTAGAGGTTCTCCCACCAGCTCCAAAGGTTGGCAACCACTGCTTTAGGGGAAGAGGAAGCTCTGACAACTAAATGTTTCCTGCTTTTTTCTCTGCTATGTTACCTGTTTAAATCAGAATGTTCACTGAGCACATATTTGAAAAGGATAAAACCAAACCATATTTCTTTATAGGGTTTGTCTGTTTATTTACTACTAGAGGCCCGATGCATGAAATTCGTGCACTCAGGGAGGTGTCCCTCAGCCTGGCCGGCGCCCTCTCACAGTCTGGGAGCCCTTGGGGGGTGTCCGACTGACAGCTTAGGCCCACAGGGAGCAGGCCTAAGCCGGCAGTCGGACATCATTAGTGCTGCCGTGGAGACGGGAGAGGTTCCCGCCACTGCCACTGCACTCACCAGCTGTGTTCCCCCTGTGGGAGTGTACTGACCACCAGGGGGAAGCTCCTGCATTGAGCGTCTGCCCCTGTTGGTTAGTGAGTGTCATAGCGACCGGTCAGTTTACATGTTAGCCTTTTATTATATAGGATTATTTTAACCTCATCTATTTGTTCATGTGGGCCATGTGTTTGAATCATTAAGTCTCCACAAGAAATACAATAAAGTGAATTTTTTACTCTTGGGGAAGGAAAAAACTAAAACCAAGACCAAATTGGTTTTAGCAAGTATCTTGACTTTTTAATGTCTAACAGCCTCAGATTATAACTTAGATAATGTCTAATGGCCTCAGAATGACCTTATGAGAACTGGAAGAAACACCCAGGAGATAAGATTACAAACTCAATCCATGAGTTAGACTGCTCTTTCTGAGAAAGCCTCACTGGGGTGATACATTTATTCCCAGTTCCCCGCAGCTGCTGTGCGACCTTGTGGCTAATGGTCCTCATCACCCACCTACCTCCAGGGACCTGGGAAACCAGCCCAGCTCAGCTGCACTAAACTCCCACCTGGCAGTAATTGTCCTTTCTGGAGTATGTTTTGTAAGGTTCCGGACCCATTATCAATCTACATAGAAGAACAAAGGCTGTCATTGGATTTGATTAGTGTTAACCAAATTACTGTGATAGCTCAAAAAATTACCTTTTTGAAATAGAAAAGGTCTCTCTCCTTCCCTATTCTACTATTTCCATTACATGAATTCCTTTCCGTTGTCAGAATTCTACTATAATTACAAATAATTTGAAAATGATGATCCTAATTTAAAGCTATTCTATAGCGTTGGTACACGTAGAACCACCTGTGACGACTAAAGCAGAGACACCAGAGCTAGTGTTTTAAAGCTGGAGAGCTGGCCAGGAAGCCAAGGGGGAAGTATGGCTGGTTCAAAAGCTGATGAGGCAGTGTGCACATGACAACCTGCCATCAGCCACCCAAGGTTTTGCCTGCCCTAGAGTACGGTGAGCACTCACCAACAGAATCCAGATGTGCTTGCTTTTCATCTGGAATTTATACAAAGTGGTAATGCTCTGGCTACCGCCTTCACATTCAGTAGAACCTTTACACGCCTGCTGAATGCCTGTGGTTCTGCCCCTTTTAGCCTCAAAAGTGAGAGGGAGTGACTGCCTCAGAGGCCCAGAGAAGAAAGGGAGAAACTCAGAGGTGTCTGAGCTTCACTCCCATTCTGTATCTGGGCTTCTTTCTCTTAAACAGTTTCATTACTTGTTTCTTTATTTCCTCTAAGCATATTTGATAGTTTTCTATTCTTAACTTTAAGGCACAACGTAGACTTTTATATTTCTCACTCCAAAATCACACAAAGTTAAATCTCTTTTGAGTTGCATTATGGTCTTATTTTAACTGAGATTGTTGTCCTCAATACACACAAAACTTTCTACCCTATCTCCATTTTACAGCATAAAGGAAAACCAACTAACAAAAATAATTAATTTGGCACTCTCTCTTGTCATCCCCCTCCCAATTCTTCTGTAATCCCAGGGAGAAGGTGCAACTTCTCACCACATGGTATACCAGTAAAAAGAAAAGGAAAACAAGGAAACAGCAGAGGACAACCTATGAAATGGGTAAGTGGTCCCCAAATGATTTTACAGTGCTTTATTCTTAGCATATTGCCTGTATCTTTCTTACTCTATGTTTTTGAGATGATTCCCAAATTTCATAAGGAAATATAAGTCAGTCAGAGAAAGACAAATACGATATGATTTCACTTATATGTGGAATCTAAGGAGCACAATAAAAGAACAAACACAATAGAAACAGACTCATAGACACAGAACAGAATGACAGGTGTCAGACTTGTGGGGCTGGGTGAAAAAGGTGAAGGGATTGAGAAGTACAAATTGGTAGTTACAGAATAGCCATGGGGATGAAAGTACATCTTAGGGAACATAGTCGATATTGTAATAACTAAGTATGGTGCCAGGTGGGCACTTGAAATATCGAGGGGACCACTCTGAAAGTATCTGATTGTCTAACCACTATGCTGTAATACCTGAAACTAATATAAAATAATATTGAATATAAACTGTGATTTTTAAAAAACCAACCATTAGATGCATAAGTACTTGAAGATGACAGGAAGTATTGGAATGACATCTATACAGGAGACACAAGCCCCAGCTAATTGACATCAATTGCCTATTACAGTGATGGCGAACCTTTTGAGCTTGGCGTGTCAGTATTTTGAAAAACCCTAACTTAACTCTGGTGCCATGTCGCATATAGAAATTTTTTGATATTTGCAACCATAGTAAAACAAAGATTTATATTTTTGATATTTATTTTATATATTTAAATGCCATTTAACAAAGAAAAATCAACCAAAAAAATGAGTTCACGTGTCACCTCTGACATGCATGTCATAGGTTCGCCATCACTGGCCTATTGCATAGTCCTGGGGTAATCAATTCAATTATATAGAGGTGAAGCCTTCATCAGCAAAGTATGGTGTTATTACCAGCCCTCCAGATCTATTGTAAGGACCAAATGATAAATGTAAAACTTCTCTGTAACTTGCAAACAATAATAATAGCAGCAAATTGTTATCTTTATTATTTTTCTTTAATACCTTCTATGTGCCAGATAGCATTTTAAATGTTTTCATCTGGAATTTATACAGATGAATAAATTCTTAACACTTACACTAATGTTATAAGGTAGATACTGTTATTACCCTCATTCACACATGGGAAAATGGAGACACATAGGCTAAATAACTTGTCCAAGATTTAAAAGGTGAGAGCTCTGATTCAAACCCGGGCAGTCAAACTTCAGAGCTCTATGCTTTACTATCTCTCTCTACAAAGCGGAGTTTAAATGAAGTTATCTCAGAAGAAAACTGGGAAAACTTGAAAACATGCTGCATAAAGCCCACTTCTCTAAAGGAAAGTCTTATGGAGCAGTACGCATAGTTGACAGGGGCTACCAACGAATAGCTGAGTCCAGCAGGAGACGGTCATCATTCTTACATGCCTGGGGATTGAACAGTCTTGAAAGCCAAAAGGTACTTAATATCACATAGGCATCATTATGCTGTGCTTAGATAAATATTTGGTGAAACTGTTCATGAGATCAAAATTCTGCAATTAAGGCAATGGCTCTCCCAGGACACAGTGTAGGCTTTAATTGGAGTAAGACATAAATTGTGAAATTTTTCTTTCATCTCACTATAGGTGTATTGAAGACACTGACAACTGATTTTGGTGAACAAGGGAAGGGGGCCAGGGAGTTTAGTTATAGAGATGAATCTGTGTCCTCAATCACTCACCCGTACCTGCTACTCGGAGAAAACCTACTGGCTTCTTTTTCTTTTTCTTTCCATTTCTTTCCCTTGTTGGAGTTCCTTCGCAACGGTGCCCTATAAAGGCAGACACATTCAGAAAGGGAAAGCTGACATGTTCTCCTTTAATCCTTCTTTTACAGAGGGCTTGCCTTTCACATCATGAAGTGCTTACCCCAGATCCACAAACTTCCGCTTAATTTTCCCTCCTTGCACCACCAATGAACTGGACGCCCTTAGTGATTTGGGACCTTTGGCACCATCTAGAATATATACATATGTAAAGAAAGACTAGTTATTATTATTTTTAAAGCTATGAGTCAAAAGTAAGTACATCTCTTTAAGAAATCTGACTCAATTTCTAACTGTAAAAGAAAATAATGGATGCCTTTATTAAAAAGATATAAGAAACCTAGCTATGCTGAGGAACATTCAGTAAAGCTAGAAGATGTTCTGATGGATCAAGGCCCGATACTCATCACAAAGAGCTTTAGCTTCAAAAATATTGAAATGAACAAAATAAGGAGGAATCAGCACTATCAAGTCACCTTTTACATTAACAGCAGGGACCAACATAACTTTCCTTTTGTTCCAGCCCTCTTATCTCTCAGGTCAGCACAGAAAGCCACCCCTGAGAGTCAGAGAGATTTAGGGAGAAAGTGATGGGCAGAGCTTTCCCTTCCGGTCTAATGGCCTGTGGCCAGTCCTGGGACAGACGAAGGCAGAACATGGGGAAGGCTTTCTTGAGCAGGGACTCAGCTCTAGGACACTGATATCTTTGAAAGGTCTCTCTTTGAAGTTGGGTTGGAGCATAACTTGGTTGGCCTCCTGTGATGGCGAAGATGCCAAATGCTCCTCAGTGTCTGGAGCTGAATGACCTTTGCCCTTGAGTTAAGCTGGCACTCTGAATGGTAGCAGCTGCTGGGATGGGCACCCTTGAAATAATGCCAAAAACCAATCAGTGGAGAGACTCTGCGAATGGCGTTAGATTCTACTGGTGCAACTTATTCCACTTTGGACAAGGTGGAAAACTCCTAAGGCTCTACGTGGAACCATTTAGCAAAGGATGCTGTTTGGTATTATCTTTCAGCATATCCAGTTATCTGCGATGATTAGCAAAGGGTGTTTTAATATTGATGCATATTAGAGTGTGAAACTACTCCTCCCTAATTATTGCTGTCTATCTCTATCTCTTTAAAATTACATAATTTCCAGCAACTTTCTGGCATGGAGTGCAGAGAGAATAGTCCTGTCCTCCTAAGAAAGTGTTCAATTAACCATGCAGGTTTATTTTGTTTATTTCAGGAGAAATTTCTTAACATGCATCCTTACAAAACACACAGTTCTCATTTAGGAGTCTATGTTCAAAGCTCTAAAGAAGCACAGGATATTAAACACTCTAAGGGTTCTTCTCAATGAGCTTTCCATATTCTTAGTTAGTGACACTCAGATTATAATTAATTCCTTGAAATGTACATAATAAAATACAAGAGTCAGAAATATATCCACATCCAAACCCACTTCTAATCTAAAATATTATGAGTATTTACATCGTTACTCTTTAGGTAACTGAATTAATCAGCCACAGATGTGACACAGACACATAAAGAAAATCCATGGACATGGCAGATACTTCTGAAGTGATTTTGCTAATGGACATTAAAAAAAAAAAAGCAGGATTTCAATTCTCTTAAGAGAAACCAGAGAAAAGAAAGTGTTGGATCCTTCCAGGTCAATCTTAAAGTAACTCTTAATGGCTAGGACTGTGCAAAGTTAAAAAGGAGACTGCCTATTATTTTCTGAATTAGAGGTAGCTGAGATGGTGAGAGGACCAGATGAGACAATGTACTTGGATGCACTCTGTGACCTATTAGAGTTGCAGTTATTGGACCTCTTGGGACTAAAAGCCCGATTGTACCCATCACAGAGCCTGCTGCTAGGCAACCTCACATCATTATCTCACACATTTGCCAAAGTGTGTTCCAAGGAACACTTATGTGAATGCCTTCAAAAGACTGAAGAGGCAAGATTAAGTAACAATGCACTTTCCCATTTTAAATCAATCAAGTACCTTTTAATGGACATCAGAACTTCTAGTCTACATAAAAACCAACATTGGATCCTTAGATTTCAGGGGGAAAATAGAAATGTGACATTTTTTGTTTGTTTATGTAGCTTTATGTAAAATTCTATTAGGCTTTTTGAAATCTCTCCAATACTACCTTCATGAGCAATTAGAAGCCTGCTAACCTGGTCCTCATTTCCAAAGGCACTGAAAGAACTCCTGACAGCTAAATACTAAGGCTTTGATGGACTTCATTCTCCTCCATCTCAGGGCAAAAGACTCTTGATTACCTCCAAGGCCTGCTCCTCTCCTGAGTGTACAACCTCCTCTATTATAAAATGAGTTGATCATCTTTCCCCCATAATATTTCTGATTTCCTATTTTCTATTAAAGACAAGACCATATTTTCTGAGGCTAGAAACCTGTGATCAGTTTTGACCTCCTCACTTCATTCCCCCTATATAAGCGGTTCTCAACCTGTGGGTCGCGACCCCTTTGGGAGTCGAACGACCCTTTCACAGGGGTCGCTTAAGACCATCGGAAAATACATATATAATTACATATTGTTTTTGTGATTAATCACTATGCTTTAATTATGTTCAATTTGTAACAATGAAAATACATCCTGCATATCAGATATTTACATTACGATTCATAACAGTAGCAAAATTACAGTTATGAAGTAGCAATGAAAATAATTTTATGGTTGGGGGTCACCACAACATGAGGAACTGTATTAAAGGGTCGCAGCATTAGGAAGGTTGAGAACCACTGCCCTATATCTAATCAAGTCTGTGTCAAAGGTTCTTGCATCTTCACTGCTTCCCCCTATAGGAGATCCCCTCAGAGTCTCTCCTAACTCATCTTTCCCATACCTAGTGTATTTTCATTCTTATTCCTCTGCTCAAACACCTTATGGTTTCCCAGTAAGGCAAGGTTCCTAAGGTGTTTAAATTCTACAATTGTAGACTCAACCTACTGTGCAATTATATGTGCAACCACTCTTAACACACATAAACAAACTACTTCAGGCAGCCTTGGGCAGCCCCATTCCTTTAAATTCAGCTTACTTGTGCCTGTCTCTGGCAATGCCATCTCTCCCTGCTTGACCTGCCTTCCTTACCTACCTTTTCTGCTTTTTCAGTGGTTACTCTAACTGTATGTTTTTTTAACGTCCTATTTGCCAACCTCAGCTGGATATAATCTTGCCCTCTTCTGAGCAATGATACAATTTTATATATATATATAATAATAATAATAATATTATATTATATATACAGGCCTAATGCAATATATTAATAGTAAATGAATCCTGAAAATATATCTACTTGCCAGGACATTAATTCAACAAATATTTCTCAAGGCATGTCCTGGGTCAGGCAATGTGCTAATAGTTACATGTAAAATTAGAATAGTAATCTCTAGATATCACCAGTAGAAAACTGAGAGTGTTTAATTTACTCTACTTAACCTTGTCTGAATAAAGGTCCATTGCTATATAAGTCTAGAGACCAGCAGTTCAGTATTAGGTTACTCAAAGAATAGGCATGAGGACAATATATTCATGCCTCCTAATATCATATAACTTGTTTTATAAATCTCTAGAAATAGTCTTTTACTTTCTCTAATTTTAACTCAAATGGGGTTAAACGTTTACCATTTAGCCAGTTACAATGGGACTTTTTTTTATCTTAGTTTCCCCTAAGATCCCACAAATATGACAACAAAATGATGACTTGTGAATGCAGTATTGACTTGAGTTAGAAATCCTTCACTTCAATTAGGTGTTCAATCACACCAGCGAATTATCCTCAGGATAGCAATCCAATATAGCTATAACTTAATCATTAACTTTATAGTAAACTGACAGACCAAAAGCAGTGGTATATTACTGTTTTAAAAATCTAGATAAAGGGTAAACAATGACTAAGACACTTTCAGAGTTTATCTGACAATGTTCAGTGGAAGGAAATATATGTCTAGACCAGGGGTCAGCAAGCTTTCTCTGCAAAAAAATTTAGGTTTGTGGGCTCTTGTCTCGGTGACAACTACTCAACTCTGCTCTTGTGCATGAAAGCAGAGAGCACCAAACTGAGTGTGGTACCCAGAAGACTTTATAAGGGCAGGTGGAGGCTGGATTTGGTGTGATGACCTCTGTTCTAGAAGACCTGCATTGGTTTTCTGCAGACACATACTTAATTCATCCAAGACACTTAGTATGCATCAATTATATGCCTTACTTTTTGGGGGGGACTAAGAATACAAAGATGAACATGATGAATGAGAAAACTTTGGCTCATACTTGACAACTAGATCACTTATCATACACAAAGGGATAGAAGCAGAAGTAACTGAAAATTTCTATGGGATCATAGAGGAGAGAATAATTTCCTCCGTCTGGGAATGGAAAGGGAGCCATGAAAGGAGGTGAGATTTAAGCTGGGCTCTGAAGAAGGACTAGAAATTTCCTAGAATGGTAGGTAAGAATGTAAACATGAAGTCTAGTTTGTACTTGTGAGTACTGCTAAACCCCATTCTAGTTCATTTAGTGATGAGCCAATGACTTGTAAGAACCACGTATATAAACACACAGAGGGAAATCAAGTTAACCATATTTCACCTCTGTGCTGCCTAGGTCTGCATAGTGAATTAGTCTCATAGAGCAAGGAACTCCAGGATTTTACACAGTGCTATTCTCCAAACTGGGTTTTGAGAACAACAAAGCTAGATCCTACTCTGTGAATCTATATTGTATTGGAGCTTGAAATGTCACAAAATTGGAAGCACGGAATTTCCCTAATGTTTTAATGATACTGAGGTCCATCTTGGGAACTAGGTAGGGAGAGTCCCTGAGGGACATGAAAGAGCTATAGGATTGGCGATGCTGCAGTGAAATGAGCATTCATCAGTCAGCCAGTCTAATGAGAATATTCCATACACACGTCCAGGTAACTTTAATTTTTTGCTCATTCTGATTTATGAATCTAACAACTAGGAGAGTACAAAACACATGAATGATGTTGGTTATTATGTCAGTTGTACCTCCCAAAGTAAATAAAACAATTAGTATTCTGGTTCTTTCTAAGTTAAACAGTATGAATCAGTCCCTCTGAACTTGATTAAATCTCGGTGCATTATTGAGTTTCCAGACTTAGAACACTGAGGCCTAGAGTCTTGGCTCTCAAAACACTGACTTGATGAGAGTTTTTGAAGGTTTTCATCCTTGTGGAAGCAGGCCAAATTACAGTGCAAGTCCTTCAACAACCTGACAACCACTTTTGATGAATTAGTGGGCTGGACATATTTTATTTCGCCTCCACTAGCATTTTGTCCTCCCTAAGTAATTTTTATCTCAAAACTTCTAGAAGAGCTGTGCTTAGGACCAGTCTGTGGGAGATAATTCCAGCAACGGATAAGCTCAGGAAGGGAAACCAGGAGAAATATCAGAGTAAAGCTATGGTGCTTACCAACGGTTACAAAACAGTGTGAGCTCCCACAACCAACTGTATTTCTATGTTCTCCACGTATTTGTAGAAAGATTACAATTTTGGATCTGGTACAGATAAATGAGTATAGACTTTTTAGAAATGCAGTGATTTGCAATCATAACTGCAATGTAGGAGTGTGTCTCATATCACTGCTGGCACTGGTTGGTGGGACTCTTGAAAGGTTTTGGCAATTTGATGGGTATCTAATTTAAATGACAATTTCTCCATCATCTTTTTACATTTTATACATAATGAAGATTTTCTCTTCAATGAGTGGACAGTTTATTTCCTTAGCATATTTTTGGCTTTAAGAAAATTACTTGAAGCTATTTGTATACTGAAATCTATTGATTAACTTTGTATATGTGGTCCTTTTTATGTTTGTTATCTACTGAAATCAAGACTATTTATATGATAGTTGCAGAGTTTAAAGAAAAAACAAAACAAACCTCCATTTCGTTTGTCATCCCACTTCCACTGCAATTTATACATATGAAGTCCCGTATGTACTTCCCTATTTCTACTCCCTGACATTCTCCCCATGTAACTAGCTTTGTCATACCCATTCATAACTTCAATATTGTGTTTGTATCTCCAAGTAATCTGCTAGTTTTGTTTAACTCTATATCAAGAATCACATATATTAGTCTGTATTTACCTGTAATTTGCCTTTCAATGTCTTTTTCTAGAGATTCACCCTGTTGTAATGTTTCAGTGTGGTTTGTTCATTTTCCCTCCTGCACAGTTCATTATAGGGATATACTACAACTCATTTATCTTTTCTACTGGTGATTATTCTAGTGATTACCAGTTTTTGGTTGTTCCCAGGTTTTACTATTACATAACAGGACTGCTATGGATATTCCTGTACATGATTCTTAGTAGACAAGTGAAGGATTTTTTTTTTTTTGATATATAAACAGGTGAAGATTTGCTGGGTAGGCACATTTTCAAATTTACTAGGTAATACCAAATGGTTTCTAAAGAGCTTATACCAATTTACACTTCCACCAGCAAATATCTGATTTATGGTTGTCTCACATATTCACCAGCATTTGGTAATATCAGATTATAATATTTTTGGCAATCTGGTAGGTATAAAATAGTATCTCATTTGGTGTATTTCATACTTCCCTGATTACTAATGGGGTTGAACAGCTTTTTGTAAATATTATGGGCATTTGATTTTCATTTTCTATGAAGTGCCTATTCAGGACATTACACATTTTTCTCCTGGATTATTTGTCTTTTTTTTTTTTAGGGCTTTATAGGAGTTATTTACACAATCTGGACACTAATCCTTTGTAAATTACATGGGCAGTAAATATCTTCTCTCAAGTTTTAGGGATTCTTTATTGTGTCTTTTGAGAAATAGGACTTTCTAGTTTTACTTTACCCATCTTTTCCTTATGGTGTATGCTTTTTGCATCTTGTTTAAGAAAACCTTCCCTATCCTGAAGTCACAAAATGTTCTCCTATATACTTTTTAAAGTTTTATAGTTTTGTATTATCTAATTAACTATTGAATCCTCCTTGAATGAAACTTCTACATGGTATATGTATATTATAATTTTTAAAAATATGGATAACCAAATTTCCTAGAACAATTTATTAAAAACGATTCTTTCTCTACCCATCTACACATGCAACTGTCATAAAATGTATGTGTATATGAAACCTGCTTCTAAGCTCTTTATTTTGTTTGTTTATTTCGATACCTCTGTATAAACAAAATGCAGAATTAAATAATTCCAGGTATCAGGTAAGCAAGGCCCTCCACTTCAGTCTTCTTCAAGAGTTTCAGGTACTTTTGGCTTCTTTTTCTTTCTATAAATTTAGAATCAGCCTGTCAAGTTCCACAAAATGTCTGTTGTACTGAATCTCCAGATAAGTATGAAGAGAAATGAGATTTCTTTTTTGCTATTCAATTTTTTTAAATGACAAAAGAATTTTACAGTGAACAAACATATATCCACCCCCTAGTTTCTATAACTTCCATTTTGCTACATTTTCTTTATCATATAACCATCCCTCTACTCATCTATTAATCCATTCATTTTTTCAATCCATTAATTTTTAATTGCATTTCAAAGTAAGTTGAAGACACTTCACCCTTATACTTATCAAGGTATCGATTTTTACATAATTGTTTTATATCATTTTTTTTCAGATGTGAAAGATAATACAGTTGACTCTTGAACAACGTGGGTTTGAACTGCATGGGTCTTCCTATACACAGATTTTTTTCAATAACTATACAGTCAGCCCTCTGTATCTTCAGGTTTTGCATCTGTGGATTCAACCAACCATGGATTAAAACAGTATTTTTGATCTGCAGTTGGGAATCTATGGATATGGAAGGCCAACTGTATGCCTTATTCTATACCATTTTATATGAGATTTGAACATTCACAACTTGGAGTATCTGTGGGGAATCCTGGAACCAATCTTCATGGATAGAAAGGGACAAATGTAGTTAAGTTTTTGGGAAGTCAAAAGTTACATGTGGATTTTCAACTGTGTGAGGGTCAGCGCTCCTAGTCCCACATCGTTCAAGGGTTACTATATAACCCAATAATACACTTGGTTACTTCAAAGGAACATGTCAGATGTGGTAGGAAGAGCATGAACCTATTCTTTTTTTATCTATGCATCATTTAACTTATTTACACAAGAATTCATTACTTCTATAAATTAAAACACACTATTAAAAAGATAAAAGTGTACTGACACTACTTTGAAATTCTGGTGTTAATTCTAGAAGCCTCTTATAAAAATTAATTCACTAATCTCCCTGCATTACCTTTATCAGAGCTTTCTACCACATTTGCAATATAAATCATTATTGTGAAATTTTCTTCTAAATAAAAACCAAACTAATAGGTTAATACCTATATCACTTTCATTTATATATATATGTATATATATATATATATTTTTTTTTCTATATGACTATGTTAGTGTTTATTGAAACTCGGCTGCTATTCCACAAAATCTCTAGAAGGCCTCCTGAATAACATCCTTCATTAGTAAACTTGTGGAGAGTTGAAGAAATAAAAATACTAACTAGTAGAAAAAGATAAACATAAATAAATGGAGGAGGAATGTTCTCTTATCCCATAAAAAAAGCAATATTATTAGCCGTGAGAAGACAAAGGACTTAGGATTATGAGAAAAAAAGTTATTTTTATATTACAGAAATCAAGGTGTTAATTAGACAAAATGAAAGAAAAAAAATGACAGTACCTTTTTCTTGTGCTATTTTCCTGGTGGTGGCTTGATGATGGCAAGGAGATTCTTCCATATCATGATCAGATTTTGAAGGAGAGGAGAGTGAAGTGTCTCCCCAAGTAGAGGAGGAAGGCTCCCTTTCTAGGTGCAGGGGTCCTTGAGATTCAGTTATCTGGTCAGACTTGGAGAAGGGCACACTGACAGCCTTGGAAGTGAGGGATGGAGCACCAGAATCTGATTCTGGAGAAGAAGTTCGCAAACCCTTGGGCAGAAGTGATTTGGTAATATGCATGTGGTTACAGAAACTGTTTGAAGGCTGTCGATATAAGAGATTATAAAGGAGGTTATGCCACTGAGCATCGGCTCCATGTAATACTTACTTTGAAATCAGATCGACCTTATTATTAGTGAATCCCCATGAAAACCAATTTTGTTTGTTGGTTTACAAATGAGACTCCATAGTTCACAACGACTCACCATATTACCATTGTAACTAACACAGACACCTAAGACATATAGGAACAATTATTTGTACATTCATTATTTCCTACTAGGTAGAACCAACTGCTAAATATCAAAAACACCATCATGAAATATGACCATGTGGATAATGCTCTTGGTTAGTTCACTGAATGAGTATAGAAAGAATTTGAATTACAACAATGTACTGAGTTGAATAAGGATTTTGGAGACAAAAAAATGTGAACTATTCCAGCTATTTCAAATGAGGCCATAAAATCTGGTTGCAGAAAAATCAATAAATTGTAGGAACAAGGATAGAGCCCAACACTGTAATCAGGAAACGGTCAAGGGCGCTCACCTTTCGCTCTAGGCTGTCCTCCCCGTCTGTTGAACTGACACTATCATAAAGCCTTGTCCTAGAGGGCCTCTGGCGTCGGTTCTTCACGGACAGCTGGGCTCGGGTTTTCAGGGCTTTCGAATCCAGGCGCTCTGTCTCTGGGACTGCTTCATTCAAGTCTAAGAAAAGACCATTGCAAAATAATCAGGGAGAGAAACCTTTGGAGAGGATTGATAAAGAGACCACAGACATTGATAACAAAATCTTAGGGTTATCAGTAACACCAGGCAGGAAACTATGATGGCCTGAATAATATCCCACAGGTAACAAAAAATATATATTTAAAAAAAGGGAGATCTAGAAGTGTACAAGCCTTAGGGAGAAAAACCAACACTAAAGGTGACCAAGGCAACAACAAAAATCTAACATCCAAAGAGCATAAAACCTTCCTAAAACATAATTATAAGAAGCACTGATTTGCATTTACTTATTTATGTATATGCATGCTGGAGTGTTTGATGAACAATATATAAGGGGGAAGGTCTATGAAAGTTGGGAGATCTTAGAAACTAAGGACAAAAACCTAAGCAGGTCAGGTGTCAGGTCAAGTACAGGTAATAAAAGATGAGCATCGGTGTAAATTTTCTTTAGCAAAATTTACTATTAGGCTTTTATCTTTTTCCTTTTACCTTTTCAGAGTGGCAGTCATTAAATGAAATCATGCTGTTCAAGAAATTAATAATTAAGTACTTCTGGGTTTAAATTATTAAAATAAAGCAAATAATGGAGTTGCAAAAACTAAGTACTGATATTAATAGAATAAAATAATTTCTTACAGTAGCAGTACCCCAGGAAATTCCTTATCACAGTAAAGATAAAGGTGTACTCTGAATATATTATATTACAAAACCAAAACAAGTAAGCACCTCAGGTTGTACCTCTCTTATGTATGGAAGTTAGCAATTGGCATATGATTCTAACAAACATATTTTTCCCTAGGAGATACATCTATTGAATGACAATATTTAAAGAAGATTTTGACTTTTCATTTCCCATATTTGAAAGAAAAGTGAATATACAGAAAAGTCAGACCATTCAGTTCTATATAAAGGACAGCTAAATATGTTATAATTAGTCGTCTCTTTGTTTTTACTTGTCAATGGAGGAAAGAAATCTCCTTTATTACTTTCATTTCCTCCTTCCAATAAAATCTAAACTTGCAGCTGCCCATTAAGAGTTCATCAATTTTGATAAATGGGGGAAAATCAACCTTACAAGCTCTTGTTTACGTATAAAACATGGAAACACCAAATAGATGAAAGCAATAATATAACCAGATATACTGTCATACATGTTTATCTGTTTCATATTTGGATTTTATGTTCTTTGACACGAAGTCCTGTCACATACACCATCTCATGTGTCCCCACAACAGCTCCAAGAGACAAAGCAGCCAAGTATGTTTTCCCTCCCCTGAGCTCAGAGAACTTGAGTAACTTGCGGTCATCTACATAGCTAGCTGATGAGCTGCCATGACCATTCTAGCTTTTGGACTCCCAGGCTACTAATCTCCAATTTAGTTAGTGTTGAACAAGATACAGAATAAGATTTTAATGGCATTAGAGTCTAGTATTTTCCATTGAAAAATCACATTTAGTGTGATTGGAAATTCACTTCTGGGAAATTAACTTGTCCAACAGGCTATGTAAGAAACATTACCATTAACCTTTCATATAGGTGTTAAGAGAGCATTAAAAAGGGAAGACATTGAAAACTATAGGAAAAATGATTTCTCAGATGATTTCTTGTTTGGTTGGTAGTAACAGCTTTGGCTACTTGGTGACAAAAAGACCTAAGGAGGAAGGTCATTCTATTTTTGTAAATATGGCTCCTCTTGCAATAGAATCCTGGCCCCAGTGGACCCAGCATAGCACTCAACTCCATCACTAGGTACTGAACAACAGAGCGAGGGAACAGGAGAACTACTTATTAGCAGGGTTTAGACCAGCGGTTCTCAACCTGTGGGTCGCGATCCCTTTGGCGGTCGAACAACCCTTTCACATGGGGTCGCCTAAGACCATCCTGCATATCAGATATTTACATTACGATTCATAACAGTAGCAACATTACAGTTATGAAGTAGCAATGAAAATAATTTTATGGTTGGGTCACAACATGAGGAACTGTATTTAAAGGGCCAGAAGGTTGAGAACCACTGGTTTAGACTATAGATAATTTATTCTGGGACTTCTGACTCCATTACTATTCAGTAATTTGCCAGGTCCTGGTGTCAGTCAATCGCCAAATGGCAATCTGGTGCATCTGCTTTAGTATCAGCTGGCACTGACTCGGTTCAACCCACTGGAGGTCACACATGGAACTACAGCTTTTAAAGATGAAGTCAGCTGGAATCTGAAAAGCAGTGCCTTAAATCCATGATCCAAGTGGCCAAAAGCATGGTACCCAATAAACAACTTTTGAGTGTCTGAACACAAAGAACTCGGGGCCACTCTATAGTAGTGATTCATGGATTACAAATCAGTCATTTATGTTCCAATTGATAAAAAAAAAGTTTTAAAGTACAAAAACTGTAAAAATGAAATGTAGCTGATAACATTCACTTCAACGGCTCTTATACCAGAAAGAACTTGGAAGGAATGTTGCCCAGGAGACATCACAAGTAACCACCCTCACCCCCCTTAGGAGTATTAGAGGAGATGAGAGAAATAGTAGGAAATGTGTATAGGATTTATGCTTCTGGGTACTGGAAGTGATCTGTCCGACCACTATAAGCTATCTTTTCTAGCATGTCATATAAGAATCAGAATATTATAATTCAAAAGAACCGTAAAGATTCTAGCCCACCCGTCTTTCTCAGGAAAACTAAGGCTCAAAGGTTAGCAACTTCTCTACTAACTGTAACGCACAGTTAGTCTGTAGAAGAGACTGCATAGAGTTCAGTTTCAGAAGCTTATCCTCCGAGAAGGTCTCTCTCAAGTCTGAAAGTAAACTTCACAGGTAATCTGCCTTCTTCAAATCCTCTTTTTAGTCTTACTTTATGTTTCAAACAAAAATACATGTCCAGGGCTAACTTTGCAAATTCCCAGAAGTATATAGTGCCAGAAGAAAAAAAAAAAGTAGGGATTTCATTTGGCTTTATCTTTATCCAAGAAATAAAATTCTTAAAGGAAAAAACAACTATCTGTCAAAATTTTGTGGATGGTGATGTGGCAGGAGCAATCTGACTGGCTTAATGATTTAAGTGTGTGCTACTAAATGTAAGGGCTCCGGTGGCCATGCTCACTCACTGCCATTCATTCTCTACAGAGATCATAATCAATAGCACAACATTGCTCTGAGAAAGCCAAGGCTCTGGGTTCCTCCTCTGCCGCTTCTCTCCAGGGCACCTTGCTCTGTTGTCCCTAAAAATTAGAGGGAATTTTTATTTTCCTTTCCCCTTTCTTCTCTATTCTTTCTTTCAGACCCTCCAGTCTCTAAAATAGCCTTTTTCAGACTCAAATTCAACTAAAATACAAAAGAAGAGCAGACTCGAGTGAATCAATACACATAGAGAGACAGATACAGAAAAGATATGAAGTAGCTGATGATAGAGCAGTTTTGAGTGGGTTGGACTCCGCTTCAAAATACCTGCATCTTAAGAATAGTCTTCTTATTGCTTTGAATTGGATCCTCCAGAGTAATTTAATGCATTTGAATGTGATTTTAGCAACTGTTATGAAAAATGTTCTGTGAAATTAGGATGCTATATATCATATTTCACAGAGATCTGCTCCCTAAAGTAATGCTCTGAGTCATTCAGTTTTTTTTCACCAGATTGACGTTATTTTTGACGTAAATGGAATGCTGCCCACGGATCAGACACAGACGGCGGCGGGGAGGTAGGGGAATGGAGCAGCATGACAATAGGGTCTGCTCCGCATTCTTATGTGCATTATTCTCCTCAAAAACAGTCAGACCTTAGACCATCACGCTGCCTGGCTTGTGCTATTATCAACAGAAATGCTGAGCATAATGAGACACTTGGTGACATTTTTAAACTTGAACGCTATTTGCAAATTCATAAAAGATGGGCCCATGGGGCTTTGGGTTCATACACACAGCATTCAGAGGCAGGTTTATGTACTGCACGGGGGCAGTGCAAAACAGTTACCTAGGGAGTAGCCCTGGAGTTAGTCTTCCTTGCATAGAACCCGGAACAGTGGCTCTGCCACTCAATTGAGTAATAGACCTAAACTGTCTGTCCTTCAGAATCCTCAATTGCAAAACTGGTATGATAATAACATATCACAATAATACTTGCATTTTATGAGGACTAAAGGCATAAAAAGATATATAAATGCTTAGAAGAATGACTGGTACATAATAATCACTCCGTAAATGTCTTTATTTACTGACAATGAAAAGGTTAGCAAGATATTCTTAAGTGACTAAAGCAAGTTGCAGACAAGAGTCTTTATGGCTTATACAAAGACAGATGTAAAACTTGCACAAAACTTGACAGGCACTTCAGGTGGTTTGTTTTTTGAGTGAGAGGACAGAATTTGGCTTTAATGGTTTGCCAGAAAACAATCAGTAAATATTGATTTCTCGTTCATTTGGTTTGTTCATTAAAATTTTCCATAGTGATTTACTGGGAGTGTTCACCCATTAATTAGTACAATTCAGTAATATCTCATGGCCAAAATTATTTATCTGGAATTTAGAGCTATTGAAAATAATTTGTTCTGGAAAAAAATGAAAATTGTGCAAGTTTACTGAGAACTTATATCTGAATTCAGAATGAAATGAGTTTGGATCTACTCCAGAATTCTCCTCCACCCCAATTTAGAACTAAACAATAGGTCGACATGGAATAATCACCTCATTGCTCTGTATCTAGCGCTGTTCGTTGTATAAGACACTCCTGATATTATAGTGCAAGCGTCCTCCCTTTCCTTTTAATGACTTTGCCTTTAATGCAGCCTGGCTTTAATCATGCCTTGAACTTTATTTTAAAATGCTGGGTTCCAATGCTAAAAATGACTCTATCAGGAAATAAATCAGATGCAGTGGTAGGGGTCTGGCCGGCCTCATAGCCACAGGTATCTGAAAAGAACCACTGACACCACGGGCTCAGGGAAAGGCAAAAGGACAAGGGCCTGGTTCTGGCCTCGGCAGA